CTGATTTTCTGGAGACCATACAGTTAATCTTCTTTTCAAGATGTACATTATAAAATGCAAATGGTTTCTTTGATTTTTTTTTTAAATCCTAACTGTTGTTTCTGGCCCCTTTCCCCTTACTTAATATTTGAGTTTTTCCCAAGAATTCTAATTTTTATATATGGCATATTCAAATTAAATGACTTATAGCTATGTGCATGCACCATTTATTACTTGTTTGAATGACTAGTACATTTTACAAAGACAGACTAGCACTCCAGAAAAAATCTCACCAGTATCATGAGTAAGATGAAACAAAAAGTAAAGTAATACATAGCAAAAGAAACAAAGGAGATAATCTAGTTTTAACTAGTATTTCAGTAGTAAGACAATTGATAATCAAGGGCTGTAAAGTGAAGTAGAAGTCACTATGATATTATATTCATTTATTTAACAGACCGAGGACTAAAACATAGTACTTGAAACATTGAATTCAACACTACTGACAAATTTGCAGTTGTAATAACTATGGTGAATATTAAAATAATATAGTAAGAAACTGACGTGTTTTTACCCCTTTCAGGCTTTTAATCCTTTCCAAGAACACAAGATTAAACGTTTCTTTCTGTGAATAAATCACCATCACATTCTAGGCTAAATAACAAAAGTTAGTATTTGAGGTTAGGCTTAGAAGGAAATTAACTATCCTCAGACTCAGTGGAATCATGGCAAAAATGAATTCTCTCTCTTTGAAATCACTAGGATGGGGCCATTGATTTTAATGGAAATGGAAACGTTTGATTCTGAACTGCCAGGGAGCTGTAAAGAACCGGAAATGAGGAAAATACAACTGGCAACAACAGTCTGAAAATATTTCTATCTGAAGACAATTTTCCTTGGCAGTAGCTTCACAGAATTCCAGTTCTTTGACCGAACTAAAATTTAGATCATTTTTTAAAACCTAGGGAAATAATTTTACCATTATACCACAGACTTGTTTTGTTTTTTCAACATTTGCATGATCCAAAATATTTTTTCCTTTACTATTTGATGAAATACAGCTCCTCTGAGCTGTTGCAGAGTTGTAGGATACACACAGCACTGATTTTTCTGCATGTTTCCCATCTTTGGTTTATAGTGAAAACACAGAATATTAAATTCAATTTATATTTCTTCTAAAGAATCAGCATAATCTTTAACATTCAGAGGCCACTGAATAGCACTTTAAATTTATGGTCATTAAAAATAAGCAACAAATACAAGGCTAATTTGCCTCAACTTTAACAGAAGTATGAGAAAACTGAAGATAAATGACATGACCCATATAAGATGGTAGATCAAGAAAAATGGTAGTCATAGTTCCTAACTCCAGGTAAACTTGATTGCACTACAGAAAACACTATTATTTCCTTCATGAAAACTGGCAAAAACATCCCTTCTAGAGGTGGTATAGATTTGGTTATGGCTTGAACAAGGAAACAACATCTTCTCTGGCTTGTGGATGACAGTCTTTTTCTTACATTATTATAATAAGGGGCTTCGTCTAGAATGATGTTTAAAAACTCATTCTAATGATTTAATTCAAAATGGTGACATATTTTGTAAAAAAATGAATAAGGAGCTTTCCCTGTGGACACAGCTATTCAAAAATATTTATCAGAAGACCCACACTTGCAATTATTGTAATGATTTCCATACAAAGAATTTGAATATTTTGAAAATAAGTCTTACAACTCATCTGCGTGCAATATGCTTGTAATAACTATTCTCACCCCTCCACACATTGTTTTATGGGTTTTTTTGTTTGTTTGTTCTGTGTTGTTTTTTTGTTGGACACAACAGACAATAAAGTTTAAAGTTTTTATGAATATTTAATGCTTCAACAGGAGAATTTACAGGACAAACAACTAGGGTTTATGAATTCCTCTCTTATGTGGTGCGTGTGGTGCTTTTTGGTCCTCGTTTGTTGCCTTTAGATGTTCTAAGAGATCATGCTTTTGTGTATTATTCATGACATTACCTATGCCCTTTGAATAATATAAGGAAGGATTGACAGAAAATTGCGTATCTCAAAGCCCACCTAGTTTCACCACCCCCGACCAAAAATCCCATCCAACCTGCCCTTGAACACCTCCAGAGATGGGGCATTCACAGCTTCTTTGACACACCGTGCCAGGGCCTCACCACCCACCAAGTAAAGAATTTCCTCCTAAAACCTAACCTAAATCTTTCTTCTTTTAGTTTAAAGCTACTTCTCCTTGTTCTCTCACTATCTGCTCATGTAAAAAGTCAGTTCTGCTCCTGCATGTACACTCCTCTTAAGTACTGGAAAGCCAGAAAGAGGTCTCCGTGGAGCCTCTTCTCCAAGCTAAACAATCCCAACTTCCTCAACGTTTTGTCAGAGGAGGGGTTCTCCAGACCTCTGAGCTTCCTAGTGCCTACTGTAGACCTGCCACAACAGTTCCACGTCTTTCCTGAACTGGAGTCCCAGGCCTGGATGTAGTACTCCAGTACTACTCATGAAGGCAGAGAAGAAAAAGATAATCCTCCCTTTACCCCCCTGTTGATGCAGCCCAGGACAAGAACATACTGCCAGATCATTTTTTCATCAACCAGCACCTCCAAGTCCTTTTCCGTTGGGATCAGGGAGATATGTAAAACACCAGATAGAAGCATACAACTGGCAAAGTGGTAGGACTAGCTAACATGACAAGTTGTTAAATCACCTTCATAGGGATATTAATGGAGAATATACATCAACTTACAGGATACAATTTAGCAATAATGACACCAATCCTGGCATTATATAGGAGAACAAAGAAGAACCACCAGAGCATCATTTGTTCTGAAATATTTCATTGAAAAATCCTGAAGAGATTTCATTTGCCATAACGTAAATGATTCCTTACATTTTCCCCCCTACATGTATCACTATTTGATGTTGATAGATTGCATGGTTTCATAGCTACACTGATGAAAATGAAAATGAAGCGCATTCAAAACAGCATTCTAGCATACTTCTGAGCAGTTTTGAGAAGCCTGAAAAAAGGAATCAGGAAGCTGCATCAGGAGGAGGGAATCAGCGCTGAGCTCTGCTCCGTGTGACAGCGACGGGGCCCGAGGGAACGGCATGGAGCTGCGTCAGGGGAGGGGCAGCTGGGGGTCAAGGAAAGGGTCTGCGCCACAGGCGGTGGGTGTGGAACGGGATGCACAGGGCGGTGGGCACGGCCTCAGCCGCTGCAGGTCAGGGAGTGTTTGGACAGAACTCAGACACAGGGCTGGCGTTTCGATGGTGCTACGTGGAGCCCAGGGCTGGGCATGGGGTGATCCCCGCGTGTCCCTTCCAACTGGGGATATTCTGTGATTTTGTGCTTATTATTAACAAATAAATGAAAACGTAAGTCCGACCATAGCAGCAGCAAGTCTTCTAAGTGCGTGATCATCAGAAGAAAAAGCAGATTACTCATTTCTGAGTTTTCCTTTAGCTGCACATATTTCAAGCTGCACTCGCTCCGGACCAGACCCCAATTCCCTCACGTCTCGAAGCTCGCATTTTGTTTTATGGAAAGATCACAGAATCACAGAATCACAGAATGACCTGGGTTGGAGGGGACCTCAAGGATCATGTAGTTCCAACCCCCCTGCCTAGCAGGGCCACCAAACATACACCTTTACTAGATCAGGTTGCCCAGAGCCTCGTCCAACCTGGTCTTGAACACCTCCAAGGACGGGGCATCCACAACATCCCTGGGCAGCCTGTTCCAGGACCTAACCACCCTCCTAGTAAAAAACTTCCCCCTAACATCCAACCTAAATCTTCCCTCTTTTAACTTAAAACCATTTCCCCGTGTCCTGCTATTGTCAGCCCTTATGAAGAGTTTACTCCCCTCCTGGGAGTAAGTTCCCTTCAGATATTGAAAGGCTGCAATGA